CACACACACACACACACACACACACACACACACACATATACATACACATACACATATACACACACACACACTTACTTACCTACTTATTTATTTATTGTTTACATCTAAATATATTGAATACAGGGTAATTGTCCTGGCATTCTCCTTGCCATGAGACCAAGAAAAAAACAAATAGCATATATACTATTTTAAACAGTGCGAGTGTTGTAGATTTATTTTTGACCATCACCATCTAGAATGTCAACTTATCTATCGTTCTAATACCTACATTCCAATACCTACATAGTATCACTTTGCATGTCTACCTAACCCGATTCTTTTGCATTCCAACTTCTACCTCATTTTCCTAACCATTGATAGAATCTGTTCCTTGTAGCATAGTATTCTGTATCTCCTTTATCTTTCATTTTTAGCATTAGCCTGTCCATTTCCGCACAGACTAAGTACCTTCCTTGTCGCCTCCTCCTCTGAAGGGGTGTTTTTACTCATCTACTGCTGTGCATAAGGAATTCTTGCTGCTGTCAAAATGTATAATATTAGGCAGCCTGCTTTAATTTCTAGCGTCATTTTAGTGGCATGAGAGACACAAATATCCCCTCTACTTTTGATCAAGGGGATTGCTAGGAAATAGCTCCCCAAAAGAAACAGTTAAGAAACTGGAAATTAAACTGTAACAGAATCACAGAGTGGGGAAAAAAAACATTCTTAATTGGCATATTTCCATAAACACCCTTTTTGTTAAATAATCCGATGTTGCCAACTTTATTAATGATGTATCGTATCAGTTAATGGTAGCTACAATCTGAACTCTGCTTTCTTTCCCTAGGCTTAAACTTACAATGAGGTGTTTCTTATGGCTGCTCTTCCTTCCAGGTAACAGTTGTAAATTTGTGAAGAACAAGTGTGTGTGTGTGTGTGTGTGTGTGTGATGTTGGTGGTGTCAGCATGTTCTGTCAAGGGAGTAAAGGGAATGTGAATGACATTAGATTGTAACAACAGAGAGTTGTTTTGTGAAGGTTGCAAAAGAAGTAGATTGCTCTGCCTTTAGGGCTTTACGGATGAAATAACAGGGATCATTCAAGGTTCAGAATGGGAACTCCTTGGAATGCCGAATTGCTGAATGGATGGGTAGAAATCAATCAATCAATCAATCAATCAATCAATCAATCAAACAATCAGAATAGAGCTGGAAGGGACCTTGGAGGTCTTTTAGGCCAACTCCTTGTTCAAGCAGGAGACTCTATACTCTTCCAGGCAAATGGCTATCCAATCTCTTCTTAAAAACTTCCAGTGATGAAGCACCGACAATTTCCGAAGTCAAGCTGTTTCACTGGTTAATTGTCCCCAATGTTAGGAAGTTTCTCCTTAATAAAGCAATCACTTCTTACCGTGTGATATAACGATCAGTATATCTAACGGTTGCATTTTCCAGTTCTGCTTTATGAGTTCACTGTAAGATATTCTTTGCAAAAGATTTTGTTTCTATGGGTTATTTTTTTAAAGAGCAGAACCGAATAATAGATTTGGAACTTGGAACTCTTCTAGTAGTCCAACCCTCTGCTCAAGCAGGATACCCTATACCGTTTCAGACAAATGGTTATCCAACATTTTCTTAAAAACTTCCAGTGTTGGAGCATTCACAACTTCTGGAGGCAAGTGGTTCCATTGATTCATTGTTCTAACTACCAGGAAATTTCTTCTTAGTTCTAGGTTGCTTCTCTCCCTGTTTACTGTCCATCCATTGCTTCTTGTCCCGTCTTCAGGTGCTTTGGAGAATAGCTTGACTCCCTCTTCTTGGTGGCAGCCCCTGAGATGTTGGATTACTGCTGTCATGTCACCCCTGGTCCTTTTTCTTTTAAATTCAGCTTCTTTTATAATTAGGAAAATTGGTGTAGATTTCAACTTTCCGGAGTTAATCCACTGCATTCAGATACTTTATGGGTAGGAAAAAAATAAGTTCCATTTGTTCCATAGGGTTACTCTGATATTTTCATAATTTAATTACAGAATTTTAGATAGTTGACATTTTCTTTTTCTTTTGCTATTTAAATATATAGTCATTAAGTTCAGGTAACTTCTGGACCAGTCACCAGTGGTTCCCAGTGTGAGGCCCACTCCCCACAGGGAGGGGTAATTTGATTTTTAAAGGGGGCATTTTGAACCTTGTTTAAACCAAGTTAATGGCCTTTTAGGCTTCCTGAGTGAGTAGGGGTATGTCACGGTGGGGAGGGGGGCATCAGGATTTCAGAGATGCTTAGGTGGGACATGGCCAAAATAAGCAATAGCAATAGGAATAGCAGTTAGACTTATATACCGCTTCATAGGGCTTTCAGCCCTCTCTAAGCGGTTTACAGAGTCAGCATATTGCCCCCAACAACCCGGGTCCTCGTGTCACCCACCTCGGAAGGATGGAAGGCTGTGTAAACCTTGAGCCGGTGAGATTTGAGCAGCCGAACTGAAGAACTGCAGTC